ATGAGTTTTCAAAGATAATGGCCAATGGCTCTGCAATCACAATGTCCAGCGGGAGGAGGGCAGAAGCAGGGAGTTGAACAAGAGTAGAGTGAGAGAGAGGCAGGAGCCGGGAGATGGATAAAAGAAAGGGGAACAAGAACAGGCTAGGAGTATACGGATATAAGGGTCTGTGCCCTCTTGAACACAGAACCTAGAATTGAACCCTGGAATCCTGAGCATCTACATTCCTCTGTTGTCAGCAAATAATTGTGAAAGCACAGCACTAGCAAAGCATGTGTCTCATTCCTCTCTAGTGGCTGATCCACATATTGGAGAACACCAACTATTGCCAATATTGTTCCATGTAACAGATATTTTCCCCATTTTTTTTAAATTAGGAAGCTGCATCCAAAAAAAAGCTACGTTAAAAGAACATTATAGTTCAAAAGTCAAGATGCAAAAGTTAGGAAATGCCAAAATTAAGGTTGCCTGGACAACCATAATTCAGTCCCTTTGTGCATATGTATGCTTATTACATGAAATACTATTTTTTTCCAAAGGACCTCTGGTTTATTTGATGAGTTCTTGACTTTGCAACATTAATATTCTTTTAATGTAGTTGACTGAATGTATAGATAGATTTTTCATGCAATTTACTGTACCTGAGTCTTTCAGATAAGACCTTAAAAACCAAAATCCCAATTGCTCTACATAGTACTTTTGGTAAGAGTAGGCGTTCGCTTGTCTTCTGGACAAAAATGTTTTCACCTCCTCCCCCACCACACTTTTTTGTGTAGCATGCTGTGGCTGGCTCTCTAACTCCTATTCTGAGGTGGCTGCATTTCTGTGGCATTGTATATGTATCATTTGCAAAATGCTTTGAAATCCTTTGGAATTAAATAGGAATGTACTAATATTGCAAACAGAAAGAACTTAGAGAATTGTTACATAATTAGAAACTTCCTTTCAAGGAACCAGAAATGCATTTTATCCGCAAAACCACTTCAAAAGTCAAGTAATACTTTCCTATAATTAGACTGGCAGAGTTGTGGTTTTAAAATCTGGATTTGGGGTGAGTTATACTGCTTTATACACATTGGAGAAACGTAAAATACTTACATTGTCATGTAGTCGTACAATGCATTATCATTTAGCTCAGAAAATGATTTATTAAAGATTTCCACATCTGGAAGTGATTTCCAGTCAACAGAAGACCAAGAAGGGAGATCCCGCAAGAGAAAATATCGCCATAACAATGGATCCCGTGCAGTTAAACTCCAGTAGTGATTTGTGCTTCCCAAATGGCACAGGTCTTGGGGTGAGAGAAATGACATAATGTATAACTGCACATCAATCTGAAAACATTAAAAAAGAGCAGTTTCAATGACCGAGGACCTCACTAATGCAAATAGAAGAGATTAGGAGGGAAAAATAAGAGCAAAAGTAATATTACTTCACATGCAAAAGTATAAACATGAAACAGATCACTACATTATTAAGTCAAAAATATGCTTGACTTCCTGCATAACACAGGCCATAGATTATCCGCAATTCCTGCATCTAGTCCAATAATTTGTGGCTGAATAAGAGCATAGTTTTTAGAAAGATGTCCAATCTGGATTTAGACTCCAAATGATTGATCATCCTCATTGTTAAAAAATGTACACTTTATCTCCAAGTTGAATTTTGATGATTTCAGCTTCCAGCCATTGAATCTTATTATGCCTCTATCTGCTAGAATCAGCTTTTCTCAAATTTGGCCACTGTGGCTGCATGCGGCCACCAGGGGGTTTCCCTGTGGCCACGACAGCCTCCTGTCTCCCTCCAACCCTGTTGCTCTTGGATGCGCCACCCTGCACCATCTCTGGAGACAGGTGGGGAACAAGGCTGAAGGAGCAAGTTGAGTTCTCTACCGGGGGGGGGAGGGAAGGGGGGGGGGAAGAGTGGCATAGTTGGGCTCATGCTTTAGACATGGGGTGGGGACTTAGGGTATGTCTACACTACGGGATTAATCCGAAATTATATAATTCGAATTTGGGAAACAGATTGTATAAAGTCGAATGTATGTGGCCACACTAAGCACATTAATTCGGCGGTGCGCGTTCATGTTCCGGGGCTAGCGTCGATTTCTGGAGCATTGCACTGTGGGTAGCTATCCCATAGCTATCCCATAGTTCCCGCAGTCTCCCCCGCCCATTGGAATTCTGGGTTGAGATCCCAGTGCCTGATGGGACAAAAAACATTGTCGCAGGTGGTTCTGGGTACAGCCTCACCCTTCCCTCCCTGCATGAAAGCAACGGACGGCAGACAACCATTTCGCGCCTTTTTTCCTGGGTGAACACTGCAGACTCCATACCATGGCAAGCATGGAGCCCACTCAGCTCAAGACAGCAGTCGTGAACATTGTAAACACCTCGTGCGTTCTCGTGGAGTTTATGCTGAGCCAGGACCAGAAAAACGAGGCGAGGAGGTAGCGGCGGCGGCAGCGCAGCGACAAGCGTGATGAGGACATGGACACGGACCAAGAATTCCGGCAAACCACAGGGCCCAGCGCAT